TTCCTTACAAGAAGTGTTGAAAGGACTTCCTCAAGCTGAGATGAAAGGATGCTAACTGTGAAAACACGAAAAGAGACAACACATTAGTAAAAGCCAGTATGCAGTCAAGTTCAGCATGCTCTAATAGTGTATGGCTGTCTCCTGACCACTTAACTGTAGTATAAAGGTTAAAGGACAAAAGTATTGCAAAAAGTTATACTTATAATAATTTGTTAATGGATACACATTATAAAGAGATGCAAAGTGTGATATCAAAAACAAAATGTGTGTGTGTGTGTAGGGGAATTAAAGGGTAGAGGGTTTGTATGTAATCAAAGTTCAGTTATTATCAGATTAAAATACTGTTAAATTTCTAAGATTTTTCAAGTAAGCCGCAAGGTAACCACAAACAAGAATCTATAGTAGATACATACAAGATAAAGAGAAGGGAATAAAAGTATACCATCAATTCACAAAGAAAAACAGCAAGAACAGAAGTAGGAAACGACAAAACAGCCAGAAAACAATTAGCAAGATAGCAATAGTATGTCCTTACCTATAAATAATTACTTTAACTGTAAATGGACCAAATTCTCCAATGAAAAGGCATACAGTGGCTGAATAAAGTGCATACAGTGAACCAACTATAGGCTGCCTACAAGAGACTCACTTCAGCTAAAAGACACACATAGGCTCAAAATGAAGCAATGGAAAAATATATTCCATGGAAATGGAAACCAAAAGAAAGCAGAGGTAGCTATATTTAGATTGGACAAAATAGACTAAGTCAAAACTGTAATGAGACAAAGGAGGTGATTATATAATGATAAAGTAGTTGATTCATTGAGAAGATATAACAATTGTAATTATATATTAATCCTACATCAGAACACTAAACATGTCAAGCAAACACTAACAGATCCGAGGGGAGTAATAGACAACAACGTGATAATAGAAGACTTCGATACCCTGCTTTCAACACTGGATAAATCATCCAGACAGAAAAATCAATAAGGAAACATCAGACTTGAATCATACTCTATGTCAGATGTTAGCAGATATATACAGAATATTTTAATAGCAGCAGAGCACACATTCTGCTCAAGCACATATGGAACATTCTCCAGGATCGATCATGTGTTACATCACCAAATAAATCTCAGTAAATTTAAAAAGATTGAAATTATACCAAGTGCCTTTTCCAACCACAGTGGTATGAAACTAGAAAATAATGACAAGAGGAAAACTGGAAAATTCACAGATATGTGGCTATTAAACACTACATTCCTGAAAAACCAACGGATTAAAGATAAAATCAAACCTTGGTTTCACTGTTGGTGGGGATGCAAATTGGTGCAGCCACTCTGGAAAACAATATGGAGGTACTTCAAAAAATTAAAAGTAGAACTACCTTATGACCCAGCAATCCCATTTCTGGGTATATATTGGAAAAAGATGAAATGTATCTCAAAGAGCTATGTGCACCCTATGTTCATTGCAGCATTATTCACAAGAGCTAAGGTGTGGAAACAACCTAAATGTCTATCAGTGGATGAATGGTTAAAGAAAATGTGACACACACACACACACACACACACACACACCATGGAATATCACTCAGCCCTTAAAAAAGGGGACATCTTGCCATTTGCAACAACATGGATGGAACCTGAAGGCGTTGTGCTTAGTGACATAAGTCAGACAGCAAGACAAATACCATATGATCGGACTCTTATGTGGAATCCGAAAGCGTCGAACTCAGAGAAGTGGAGAGTGGGATGGTGGTTGCCAGGGGCAGTGGAGCAGTGTTGGTCAGAGGGTACAAACTTCCAGTTATAAGATGAGTAAGCTCTGGGGCCCTAACGTACAGCGTGGCGACTATAGTTTACAACACTGTGTTGTACACTTGAAAGTTGCTGTGAAAGTGGGGCTTTGATGGTCTCACCAAAACACCACCACCAATAGACTAGTAATTATGTGAGGTAAAGGATATGTTACCTTATTGTGGTAAACATTTCACAATATGTATGTTTATGAAATCATCACATTGTACACCTTAAACTTATCCAATGTTACATCTCAATACAGCTAGAACAATATAGTTTTAACTGTAATTATCTAATTCCTTGCTCTTCAGCCTTTTTCACATCCCAGCACATGTAGAATGTGGTGTTTATGTGGTAGGCTTGGGTGAATGGGGGACTCTGTTCTTTCCAGTGACCTGAGAGAGAGAGAGAGAGAGAGAATTCTACCTTTTCAAAGCATATAGTCTCTGAACTTACGTCACAGTTGCATAATTTTAAAGGTGTTCATCTATGAATCCCACAGAATCAAGTAAATATTTATGCAAATCAGGAAGTTTTCTCAACATTTTTTTAATAGTGTAGTTGAATCACACTAGTATTTTAAGTTATTTTAATTTTTGTTTTTAAATAAGGGCCAGAAAATGTGAAAGGTTTGATTACAAAGAAAATAAAATATGTATTACTGAATTTATCTCACTTTACATTTAAAAAAGCCTTACTCATGAATTTGGAGTACTTTTGGTGGTGATGTACAAGTACTACTTTAATATTCTCCTTCCAAATTTACTGATTTAATAAAAATTTGCACATTTTTTTATTACACTGTGACATTATCTCATTAAGAGATTGACCATATTTTTGCAAACTTCAAGTTTGTATCCTTCCTTTCATATTTATTTGGTCTCTAGATTTTTGGTGACAGAGCTTCCTTTTAAAGTAAAATATGGCGTCTTTTGAATTAGCAGACGTCAGATAGAAGTACTGTGTGTCTCAGTCATCTCTGGCAAGCGTGATTCCTGCCAGCAGTTCTCATCCTTTCATCCAGAAAATCAGCATCAAATTGACCTAACTTCGCCAGATCAGATCTGGTATCTGGAAGGTAATCCTCAGGGAACAGAAAATTCAGTCTTTGTGCATAAATTTGAGAATCGGATTATTATTTTTTTCTCAGAGCCCTTTTGTGTCTTCTTTTGCAGTACTTGTGAAAAGTTGCTACAAAGATGTGTCAGATGTGGTATAAATCCAACAACATAGGCGGTAACTAAGTTAATCCATTTCAAAATATGGATGCACATGATTATAATAAATTTTGGGGTGCTGAAGTGTAAAATTCATTTAATGAAAAGAAAAGAAATAGGATATTTTCCACTAAGCGATTAAACTAATATGTGCTATTTTCATGTATTCACTTGTTCATGCTCTGAAAGAACAGACGATATAGAAATTCTAAACAGCATAGTAAGTAAGGGGTGAGCGAAAGTTAGGGAGGGAAACATTCTGGGTGAATGCTGCAAACGACAACTGATAGGGCTGTGCAGTGATGTAGATGTCCTGTTTTAGGACAGAAGTATAAGAAATTTGTCACAAACATTTTCTGAAATGGTAACTATAAAATGGAGGTTGTTTTGAAAGGTGTATGTTAAATATTCACATTGAAGCTCTTTAACTCCATCACTTATAAGAAAGAACTACTCTACATTTCTGCATGATGATTTGTTTATATGACCATCAGTTACTGTGTTCATTTATCAAGATAATAACTTTTGTTTAAAATTTCATGAAGAGTCCATCATACACTTTTGGTTTATGAGATTCAAACTTCAGTAATTACCGTTTTGGTAAAACTGCCACATAAACACACACATATTTTTTTCAACATAATCTTCCACAGGACATTGATATCTGAGTATGTTTAGATGACCTATAATGCACATCACATTCATTTCAGAAATGTATACATTTTGTTTTACATGAAGGCATAATCATTTAATATTACCTTTATAAATTTGTCATGCATTATTCTTATATAAGATGTTTTAAATGTTTCTTGTTTATGTGAATTTATATAGAAACTCTTTATTCCTTATTAGGTAAAAAGGTTGACTGTAGAAAGCATGCTTTCATTCCTTTTTAAATTAAAATATTTGAAATAAATTCTTTTGAACTTAATAAGTAATACAGTTTTAGAATGAAAAACTTGAAATTATGCATCTTTGGATGTGTTTTTAAAAAGCAAATGGAATAGTGCAAATAATGAAATAGAGATATAATTTTTCACTTACTGGGTACATGATCCACCAAGTCCTTTCCGCTGGAGTGGAATTCAAATCCTGTCCTGTGGGGTACTTGTTACTTATATTATCTTGGGTGTTCAAAGGCTCTTTCAGAAGTTATATGATCCATTGTGTACTAACCTTTTTAAAGCACATTTGCAGTACTCAGAAGTTTGTTTTTCACAGAATTTAAAAAGTACGTGACTAAAATATTATAATGCTAATTAGAAGGACTTCTTTTGATTATGGTAGGAGAGAAATATTGTGAGAAATAATGAAAATGAAAAACCAGTGGGACTATCTATAAAACGTTTATTTTTATTATGAATAACTAGGCATAATGTATTAGAAAAATTTTCTAAATGCCCTGCAAATATTAATTATATTTCAAGTAAGCTTGATGCCTTATACCTATTAACTTATCTATTATTTTAAAAAATGTAGAGTTGAAAATATGGGGTTTCAAATATGAACCTTGTTATAAAGCAAACATTATTATACTGTTAGGAGTTTAAATGAAAATTTAAGGTGCTATATTTGGTCCAGTCTCTGAGGGCTATAATATATTTGATTACATATTTACCACATTTATGTTTTTCTTTTCAAATTAAAACCAATATGTTAATGTAGTTAAAACTGAAAATTTATATTTTAAAATTTTAAAACCTGAAGTATATAAATAAAAAAGTAAGTTGCTAAAAGAAATAATGGTTTTTAATAATCTGGCCAAGTTATTAATTTTATTTGTTCCTATTCCAAAGGGCATTAAAACCCTTAAAAGACCAAAATATTTCATTTTGAACCTCATCAACTAAATGTTTGAAGAAAAATTTAAAAATTATTTAAAAAGTAGCTTTGACAATTTTAAGAGTGTTTTAACAAGACTGTTGCTGTAAATGTGTTCTTTTGCCTCTGTTTAATGTCATGTATCAATTATTTACAGATCCGGTGGTCTTGTGGAAATTCCCAGAGGACTTTGGAGACCAGGTTGGAACCACATGATTTTTAAAGAACATTTAAAATTGGAGTATTGTGATTATTACTGCTGTTACTGCTACTACGACACATGAATTGCTATAAGTATTTTCTCCTGATCAGCTCAGAGAGAAAAAACCATGTGTGCAGAATATACTGAGGGTGCCAAAAAAATTTATACACATTTTAAGAAAGGAAAAAACTATTAAAATTGTAATAATGTATACCGATAACAAAAGATGAATACACGTCATGTGTATACATTTTTTTGGCACCCCCAGTGTATGAAAAATGTTTTAAAGTTGCCAGGTAGATGGGTGATGAAGAAGCCCTTTCATTGAAACTAATAGGAACTGAATATTTTCAGTTTCAGCATATTCTTGTACTCTTTTTAATCTATCTATGGAATGTATATTTGGAAACATTTAAAAATGTCTCCGTCATAAATCTTGACAATACCATACTTTGTTGAATACCTTCCTATTATTTCTGTCTAATTAGAAATAAGTAGTAATTGCTGTGAATAAGCAGTCAGTTCTCTTCTTATAGTAATATCTGAATCATTTACATTTATAAACTGAATTGACAATATTTTCTTATATTTGAATAATTCTTATCTATAGCTTTATTATTTTTTTTAAATGGGAGACTTTGGAATGAATTTATTCATTTGTATTTTAAATTATAGTCTTCTACAGTTCCTTAAATGTTTAGTATGACCAAAATGATGAATTATTTTGATATGATGTACGTGAATAGAAAAATCTTTAAAAATTTATATTATAGATTTATCATTTTGAAGTGAATTATATAATATATGGTTAAAATGCAAATTTAAATTTTGATACAAATAAGCACTTTTTTTCTGGAAAATGATGAGCAGGTTCCTTTTTGTCTACAAAAAAATGAGATAAACAATCTTGTTGCTGTTAAAATTATAAAATTATAACTAGCTTAACCATCAGTTAAATTCCTAGACATGATTTTCATAATTCTCATAATTTACAAAAATGAAAGCTGATACAGGTCTTCGTTTAAAGTAGTTCATTCAGATACAATTATACAGACACGTGATTTCAAGATAGTGGAAGAATAGTTTTCTACATGTGAAAATCAGTATGTAAGACTAGGAAATTACACTGAAAGTACAGTTAAATGGGCATGTTAAATATTTATTAGAGCTGGTGAAATTCATACTATTGTTTCACTTAAAAAGAGGGTATGCATTCCCAATTTGTTGTTAGTACTTTGGCGAAAGAATAGATTTATAAATACCTTAAGTATATTAAAGAAGTCTTTGCAGTGAAAACATGGTCTGTGTAGACGTGGGCAGCTTGGTTGGGTTGGTTCTCAAGTCCTGTGGACATGGGTTACAGACTCCTTTTACAGTTCCGAAATGCGGCTCTTCTCCTGGTCTTCTCAATGTGCCCTGTCCACTGACCCAAGAACAAACCTGTCCAGGCCTTTCTTTGTGTGTGCTTTCTACCTGTGCAACTGCCCCTGAGAATCCCGAGGGGATCTGAAGACTCCTAACTTGGGGTTCACATAAGGGTGGCTGTCCCCAGCTGCAGTGAACTCCTCAGTGAGACCCACTACTGCTGTTCCTCTTTGTGACTGATAAGCTCCTGATGGGACTATTTCAGCTGGAGCTGAATTGTCGCTTTGCTTTCCATATTTGTGAGGTCAGAGGTCAGCGGAACATTAGAAAGCCCTCCCATACTTAGTAAAATACGAAAGCAATGACCATGTCAGGGTGACGAGCCTGCATAATCCCCAGGGGTCCAGCTCACAGCCGTTCCAGAGACTTTTTGCAGCTTCCATACCATTTTGTCTAATGACTTGACTTTGTATGTAAAGAAACCAAACTTTATGGGGGGGGGTCTTGCCAAGGGCCTTGGAGAATAGTTTTGCTCTAGTCATCCTGGTGACCGTTGTGAATACGACAGATGATACAGGTTATTCTGTGTCTATTTCTCATTCTTCTTACCCTTGACTACATTTCTGTACTGTCTGCTTCCTCCTACATAGTCTGCTCACTGGATCTGAGACTGCTCCAGTAATAATAATTCTTATAAAGCTCTTTATTTAGCTGTTACGATGTCCTGGGTACTGTAGTAGGTGCTTTATGTGCGTAATTCATTGTACCTTGAAACCCTCCCGGTACTGCCAGGTGATACCACCATCCTCTAGCTGAGGAAGACACTAGCCTGGGATCACACTGCTTGTGACAAGCAGCGCTAAGAACTGAAGGCAACTCTGCCTAAATCAAAAGCATGAGCTATTAATAATTAAGCTATCTTGTTTTTTTCTGCTTGGGATGCTGATCTAAATCCTACTTGTTTATTTGTGCTCATTTCAAAAAAGTTTATCAGTTTTTTCTCAGTATCTTTGTAATTTGAAAACAGCGTGTTATTTAATCCAAAGAAATAATATCAGCTGCCTCTATTTTTGTCCCTGTTTAATTTATTCTCCACAGCGTAGCTAGAATGATCTGAAAGACAATAGGATCATCTCTCGAAGGGGCAAATCCTGCCACTGCTGCTGTCACTGGCTCCTTCCAAGGTGCTGGGCAGCTTTCTAAACACCGGACTCAGCCCGTTGAACTCTCGCAGCAGCCCTGGGAGTTACGGGTCTCTACAGTCCTCCCATTTTACAGGTGGAGACACAGAACGCAGAGACTTCACGTCCATGGCTGAAGCCGCCCTAGGAAGCCAGAGGGCTGCATTCCAGAGCAGACCCTCCTAGGCTGCCTTTAACTCAGTATTCCCCATTGACCCCTTCTTAACAGGACCAAGGCCCTTGTCAAGTCTTTTGTTTACACCTTTAGCCTCATATTTCTCTATCTCCCTTTCCTTTCTCTATTAAAAAATGGTCTGTATTTCATAGTGAATGCTAGTTTCCATTATGTGCCGTTCACTTACATTGCGCCTTTGAACAGATGCGCCTTCCTGCCTGGAATGCTAAGCTCCTGCGGCACCGGCCTTTGCCTGCCTCTGTCTTGGCTTAGGGGCCATTTCCTCCAAGAAGCTGTTTTTGTGTCCCAGGCCTGCAGTGCCTGGGCCTCCTGGGAGCCCCCCAGTGTTTGTGTTTCCTGCACTGTGGCACTTGCTGGATCTAGCATCTCTTTACTTTCTGCCTAACCCATGACTAAATGGCTCTGAGACTAGCATTAAAGAATAACTTTCAAAAGAAGATATAATTATGACTCTAATACAAACATACATAAGATTTTATTTTTGTTGAAGTTCTTTGTTTTTTTTTAACTGATTAATTAATGAAGGTACAATTATTACAACCTATTCACAGGAGAGTTCAGAGCACCACAGTTATATAGATACATCAGGAAGGCTGTGATAAATTTACAAATAGATGTAAAAGTGGCTCTTGCCAGGGGGAGGGGGTGGTAAGGGAGGAGGGAGATCAGTTGTCCCTCCATCAGACTTGTCTGTGGACAGATGTCATTTGCACTGCTGTCATTCATCTACAACTTACAGTCAGTCGTAAAATAGCGTGAAGACGATGGATGAAAGGCAGCGGGCCCTTAGAAGAGTGTGTTCCACCATGGCTTGTTCTCCAGTGAAGACAACCAGGAATCGTTTGGTCCATTTCAGTCTTTCATAATTTTTCCCAGTAGTCTTCCTCTACCTCTTGCAACCATAATAATATGAAAGAAAGTTTATTCTAGATTAAAAAAATAATAATAAGATGAGTCCCATTAGGGTTGGCCTGATTATTATTATTATTATTATTATTATTATTAGTAGTAGTAGTAGTAATAGTAGTAGTAGTAGTATTATTTTTAAAACTGGGTAACAGTGTGTTTTTTCCAGGACCCATCAGCTCCAAGTCAAGTAGTTGTCTTCAATCTAGCTGTAGAGAGCACAGCTCAGCTCCAAGTCCAGTTGCCATTTTCAATCTAGTTGCGGGGGGTGCAGCCCACCATCCCATGTGGGAATTGAACCGGCAACCTTGTTGTTAAGAGCTCACATTCTAACCAGCTGAGCCATACGGCTGCCCGAGGGTTGGCCTGATTATTTACATAGGTGCAGCAAGAGTGTTAATTTAGCCTACAAGCCTCCATGAATTTACTTTACATATCTAGAGCCATGCAGTGTAGAACAAATACTATAATATGTCTACAGAATTACCTTCTTTCTGGAACTTTTCATAAGGAGGTTCAGAGTGGACTTTTACAAAGCCCCTGTTGTTTGCTATCCTAAAGCAGGAACCAAGTCCAAGAAAATATCTTTCCCAGACTTAACGTGTGAGCCCTACAACTTTGGTAAATGCTTCTCTTCTCAAGGTCACAAGGCTTGCTCAGGTTCCTAGTCCTTAATGTTCGTTAAGGCTGGACTCTGTGTTCCTGGGAAGGCTCTGCAGGTTCCCGAGGTTTTGTTCCTTCAAAGTGCCTTGAGATGGCTGATTAAACAAGGATCTTTCTCAAATATGACCCTTCAAGGTAGGCAATGATTGTGTAATCAGTTTTCCTACTTATATCCTGATAAAATGAAAAACAGATTTAAAAAAACAATTGATGCAAATAACAATATTGCCATGAAAAATAAAGGGGCTTAAGAGTTTCTGAATTCGAGGAGGTAGGAAATCAGTGAGAATCAGATGTAACTTAAAAATTCTATTTCAGTTTACAGAAGCAGAGCTTACTAAACTGTGGTGGGTTACAGACAGTTTGGGAAGAGGAGAAAAGGCTTTCTGATATGTCCAGAAAACAGAACATTAGAACAGCATCAATGATATTTCAAACAATGAAATTTCTCCCATTAGTTTATTCAGTAGCCTGTGATTGTTTATCGTTCTGCCGGACCTTGGCCTAAAGTGTTATGGAACGCTGTGCTTCTTGACTGAAAAGAGCCTTCGAAGTCCTGACCCAGGCACTGGGAGGCCTGAGAGTTGCCTGAGTGATGTCAGGTGATAGCCTTGTACCCAGAGCTGTGTCTTTGAAGTGTCAATAGTTTTGAAACACCTGATCCAGCCCTGTCCACAAGGCTCTGAGA